AAGTTTTCCCACAAAAATTGGCGTACCCATTTTATGCGTCCACGTTTTAAATACCCCCTTGGACAGCTAGCACTGATAAAATCGGACTTTATAATTATGTCGGGGAAATTTACTAATATGATTAGACTAAACGTCTTCGTGACCTCTTTATTTCGAATTGAATTGCCAAAGACTCAAGCCTGACATATATAATATAATTATGTCGGCAGTTATATTTTCAAAATAAACAGACCACCGATGTGAACGAAACGTTAGTAGAAAACATCAAGCTGAAAGATGAAGAATAGTTTGGCTACCTTCCAGATTTCTGTGATTCGTCATATTCGTGGGTAAATTATTTGACATAATGCAACTCCCTCGATCAAAACTTTGATGGAGAATCAAAACTTCAATGAGACTTTTGGATCACTCGTATGGTTACCTGTCTCTTATATCTCCCTCAACCTAGTTCCCACTGCCATGATGCCTTTTTCGAAATACAAAATTAAATTCAGGTCTAGGAGACAGAGCGAAGCTTCAGTGCATTTTGAACCAGTAACAATCAGGCACATGAACAGGAAACTTTATTAGAACAATGTTGTAACAACTAGGTTGACTCACTATGGAAAGCTATGCCATGAAAAGCTTTGTACATGTATAAAATGCCGCCCCGTGAAACATCGTTAGAAGAGAGAAAGAGCCAAAGCTAAATAATTAAAGTGAAATATTTGACCGTCCTTGTAATCAATTTCAGTCATCTACAATTATCAATTAGTTATTCTGATTTTGTTGAAATGCAAGAATGTATCATAAAAAGCTTCTCGTATAAAATTACAAAAGAAGTCGATATGTCTCGCTGACACTGTTCTTCATTCCGTCCAAGAAAAAATTGGAATTTGTAATAATGGGAACTAAAAGACCATCACAGCGTGTAGATTTTTCCGATTTTTTTAAAGCGTATAATTTGTAAAGTACACGATTTTTTTATATTTTTCTGATGACTTAGCCTATTCCCCGTTTCCAGCTTGACGTCGACTTGGGACTCCCTGTATAATGCGTATTTCCTGCTTTAATAATATCGTGGTTATATTTTTTTCTAAGACGAGAGAAAAATAGGTAAGGCAAAATTATTGGAGGTATACACTACGGTATGTATAGCATTTGATGACCTACAAAATCACCACACTGGCTTTGTAATGTGAGTATAAGGAAGTTCAGATTATTACTTAGGACGTTACAAAGCAGTCCCGACTGAGATCCTGGTTTATGAGGATCTGCACTTTAGTGCCACAAGATCAGCATACAGGGTGGCGCATCGGAAACGAAACAGATGCATTTACTGCCAGCTCAATTTTTTTTTTTTGGAAAAACGCTCAGACCCGTCGATTTTGTTTCCGACGGGGACACGAGTTTGACAAAAAATCACATTAACACGTGCGGCCGCCTGGGCGGGGGTGACACCAACCCTAAAATCTTAAATGGAAAGGGTGGTCGAGTGATACCTTATTTTGAAGGTCTTTCAATTCCCTTTATAATGATCTAAAATACATGAGCTTCAGTTCAGAAGTTTTGAAGATTTATTGATTTAAAGCTTAAAGTAGACTTTAATAGGTACATCAGATTAGTTTGTATTACTTTCAGAAGAAATTTGACTAAAAGAATTTACTCAATAAGTACATGCTTTCTTCACTACGCCCATGGTTTGATTATCATTTTGTTGTTGAAAATAGCTATTGTAGCGTTTTTTTGTGGCAAAAAAATATTTCGTGAACAAATATAAGGAAATATCTCGTACTTATTTTAAATAGGTATTTATTACATAGTTTGCGATTGATTTGACCAAACTTTGTTGATAAAATAATTTGTAACGCTTTATTACATAAATCAACCATGGTATATTCCACAGCAGAAAGAGTTGAAATTATCGAAATATTTTTCGGAAATAATCAGTGCGCTAATAGCACAGCAGAAATATTTAATGAGCGACATGAGAACAGTAACGTGCATCGAAAATATGTTCTAGAACTTGTAGCTAAATTTCGGGAAACTGGGTCAGTCGCCAATAAAAAACGCAACATTGAAAATCCCATAAGGAACGAAGCAATAAAAGTGGGTATTTTAGGGCCAGTTTATGTAGATCCTACGTTAAGTACCCACAAATTGGAGACTGTGTGTGGTGTTAGTCGACGTACTGTCCAACGGATTCTAAAGGCCCATAGTTTTCATCCGTATAAAATTCACCTGGTACAAGAACTTAATGAAGACGATTTTGATCGGCGATTACAATTTTGTGAAGATATGAGTGAACGAATTATAAACGATGAACATTTTCTATTCAACACTTGCTTTTCAGACGAATGTTCCTTTTTCTTAAATGGCGTAGTAAATCGTGATAACTGCCGATATTGGTCCGATTCTAATCCCAGAATTTATCATGAGGTTCATACACAGCAGCCACAAAAATTAAATGTTTGGGCTGCTGTTTGGCGACCATTTAGTTGGTCCTTTTTTCTTACCTGGAAATTTCACCGGTGAAATGTATTTGGAATTACTGGAAGACGCCTTAGAACCTGCATTAACAGCCATAATTGAAAATCAGAATGATCGGCGGTACATTGCGAATAGGTTGATGTTCCAACAGGACGGTGCCCCACCACATTACGCATTACGTGTTCGACAATATTTAGATCAGACGTTTCCAGATCGATGGATTCGTAGAAGAGGTGCCATTGAATGGCCCCAAGATCGCCAGATTTATCACCTTTGGATTTCTTTATGTGGGGTCATTTAAAAAGCAAAATCTATGCTACTCAGCCAACATCATTAGAAGACCTGCGACAAAGAATTGTGAATGGGTGCCTTCAAATTACTCCTCAAAGATTGCAAAATGTGCGGCAACGTTTTGAGCAAAATCTTTAATATTGCATGGAGAGTCATGGTGACCATTTTCAACATTTACTAGCCTAAAGGGTCAGTTCATTCTTCATTTTTAAATTACTTTGCTGCCAAATGTATTGATTTCCACTAAATGATGATGTATTAGTTTTTTTTAAGCTTTAAATCAATAAATCTTCAAAACTACTGAACTGAAGTACATTAATTGTATATCATTATAAAGCGATATGAAAGACCTTTAAAATAAGGTCTGACTCGACCCCCCTTCCCATTTAAGATTTTGGGGGTGGTGTCACCCCCGCTTAGGAGGCTGCATGTGCTAACGTGGTTTTTTGCCATACTTGTGTCCCCCTCGATGGGTTTGAGCGTTTTTCAAAAAAAACTGAGCTGCTAGTAAATTCGTCTGTTTCGTTTTCGATGCGCCACCCTGTATAAACCAAAGCTAAAAATGTGCCAATGGTCGATATACTGAATTAAATATAACGTGAATATCATTCAATTTTGTAGGGCTTCGATCTTCATTAGAAGCATTATTTCAAGAGTTACTCTTGGAACCTCGAAGATCCTAGCTATCAGAATCATTATAACGACGTACATATCGTCACTGTACAAGCATTTGTTTCCACGTGGGGAAGGCAAATAAAATAACCGGTTGGGTATAGTAAATACATTCAGTAACGATTATCTCTTGAAAAATAATGAAATACACGTTTAATGAAGATATTTTATGTAGATATAGATTCAAATATGCCAGGAGTATTACTGTGAAAATCAACAAAAATATACTCTATTGCTATGTTTTTGTAAATATAATTCAGATTTTACCGCGCATACGCCGGCTATACGAATGTTATACACTACCTATCAATGTAACTATATAAAAGCAGAATGTGGTGCGTAATCTTGACAGACTATTTGAAGTTAATGACGTGAAATATTGAGGCTAGTGATTATCTACATTTTAGGCCTTGGACTTGAAGCTTCCGCTAATGTTATAAACACATCAACATCTTTCCTTTGATGAACCTTCAACTTTACATTTCTTGATAACTATGGATGCCTTAGGGCTCAACTTCTTTCAAGGACTCCACTAAGATGCTTTATATGGCGCATGTATCTTTTATAGATTAGAATCCTGAAAACGTTTAATTTTTCCATGAAAGTTACGGTGGTGAAACCGTAAATGGTGATGTGCACCGGCTTGCGAGATCACGTAATTCAACCTCTTTTGGCATTTTTGAGAGTATTTTTCAAGGGTAAGATCTTTTGAAACCATCTACAGGCGATTAATGACCTGCAGCAAAATCTTCCACAAGTTATTGGTAAAATTGTTCCTCAAAATTTTAGTCAACTTAAGAAACATCTCGGAGAGGTATTTTGATAATATAACTTATAAAAAGCAATCCTCATAGTTATTATAGCAGGAGTGAATTTCTTAAAATTGTTGGTTTAGTACAAAAACAAAATCCCTAAGTACGCTCTTTGTATCCAGTATTTCTAAGCATCCAAGAGAATACGCGTATCTGATTTGCGATTTACTTACAATAATCTTACTTCCTAAAAAGAGAACTATCTGCCCGATGCCTAAAGTAGACTATTGTGTGCAATTGTGGATCCCGAGTCGTATCAGACCTGAAACAAGCTTTTTTCATAACCAGTATTAGAAAAAAACGTATTTTTGAAACTCTCCAAAAAATGATTTTCACATTAAAAAAAGTTTAACCAAGAAAGTTGGTACAGACAAAAAACTTATTTTAGTGTTGTCTTAAAGCAACCAGATAAATAGATGGGTTAAATCTCACCATCGGTCAGCAGAACTCTCGGTAAATCGGAAACGACGTAAATATAAAATTGTTTTATATCTCAGATATGCGAAGATTTTCATATTATTTTTTATTATGAAATTATAGACAATCAGAAATGTTTGTATTTTCGCGTGAATGTTAGCTGATTGTGTATTCCTGCACCATGATTTGATCGTGTGAAAGAATGAGTTATAATTAATAACTTTTAGCGCGGAGATCATTTTATCCAAATGCACCGGCAATGCTTTTTAACATAAAGCCATTTCAGAAATTGCGTTGAATAAAATCAATTACAGAAATATATGTAAGTTGGTAGCTTACCGAGTGATCCAACTGAATGAACCTTGCTCGCTGACTTTTTGGAAGGGAATTTATGCACTGAGTATTTCTTGTGTGATCTGGGTGGCTCCAAGTTATCGCCACTGTGGATGGACCTAATTTCTTCTGACATGTCTGATATGGAGTCATCGTGACATCTTTGATGGCATACATGTCGAAAGTGTATGTCACAGCGGCCAACGCTCTATCACTTCTAGACCAGACAAAATACGGCAAAAAATATTGCAAGTTTGCAAAAATTCCCACAAAACTGAAAATTGGTACACGTCTTAAATACATCTTTATCATCAAAAACGCCTCATATATTCTTGGAGCGATACTTTGTTTTATTATTATTATTATCTAAAAAGTCAAAATCAGGTCTTTACTAACTTTGAACAAGGAGTGAATCTAAATTTTATCTTAACCCTCACCTTCGAATTAATTTATAGGTCAACTTTTGTTTTTTAAAATGGAAAGCCTTTTTGGTACCAACAATCGTAAGGACGGAAGATTCTACTCACGAATATGTGTTGAAATCTAAAATCAAGGTCACCTCTAACGGTTAAGTGAGAGTCAAATGTGTGATCAATTTATGGTTTGTTCGTACTGTAGTCGGTAACCCGTCGGTGACTGTCAAAATCAGAATCAAGAAGATGTCACCTGTTCGTACAGTTTCTGACGGCCGACAGCTAATCCACTGTTCGTACAGAACCTTCTGACAGATTAGAGAACACCGGTGCTTCGCAAAAGGAATTCAAGGATCGATTACTCTCTCTAATGGACGATCTGGGGATACCGTCGCACCGATGGGCGGTTGGCGATCTGCTACGCTTTGCTCCTCAGAGTTCTCTTCCATGGTGTCGCCGCGCGATGTGCCTGCGTGACTTCGGCTTCTCATCGTAGCCGGGTCGAACTTCGTACATCCAGAACTGGCCGATAAGACCGCTCATTTGTCCCGAGGTTGTCGATATCGTGTAACACTCTACATGAGGAGCTTTTCCCAGTTGTACTAACTGTAGGCAGTTCAAAAATAGGAATAACAAAGTTTGTTTAAGCTCCTCAGAGCAGCCGCGGTACCCTGGCAGGTATTCTTCAAGTGCGCGGGTGCTTCGGTGTAAAAAACTGAGCGATATACCAAGATAAAGACCTTGAAGATCTACTGGAGGAGAGAATGAAACCCAAAAAAACTGAATTTTGTGGAGAAAACAGCCACAATTATACAGAAACAAGTTTTTGTAACATTTTCGGGTGAGCAAGTGGCAGAAGAAATGTCAATGAAATTCCATTTTAAATATCAGGCAGCGCCAAAGTACTTTGTGCTCAATATTTGTTTATTGGCCCGGTAGTCGCAAAATGAAGATTATGAATACAGTATGAAAAATCCGAAAAATAGAGGATAAAACTCTCAAGAACCATAATTAATACGATTTTTGTGATCAGTAATCTTTTGAAAATTTTTGTTATAATTTCAAAATGCGAAATTACGCGACTTACGTCTTCTTCTATGTATCTTCGTAGTCTCAGTTCATTTTGACCATGTTGGGAACTCTGTGAAATGTATAGCAGATCTTGATACTTGTAGTTATGCTCAGCCGTTTTAGCTTTTTAGTGTATAAACACCCTTTATTATTCACAGACGTTATTATATCCTTATAGTATTTTTACTTCTTTCGTCTAGTGAGAGTCTGCATATACAGGGTGTTTCAAATTCGGCACTCACTATTGGGATCTTGGAAACTGTAAGAGATGCGAAGTCGCCTAAATGAAGTAGTCAACAAAATGAGAGAAAGTTTCGAAATTCAAAGTACTTCCGGAGAATGACGGAAAAACTGAATTGTCCCAAAATCGTTTTGATTTTTTCCTGACTTTATTTATATTGGGATTTTAAAATAAATTGCACAATAACATTGACACGTTTTCTTCTCTACAAGAAGGTATGATCAGAATTTCTATATGACGGTTCGTCTCTTGTAGTCCAGAATCAACTTTAATAATTTTTAAGGACGCTATATTGCATTTTTGCACAGATGAATAGAGTTTTCAATTTTGAGTCAAATGCATAATACGTCGAACATTGACGTTGCCAAACCTTAGTTACTTCAAAAAAAAAAATTTCTTAGGTAGGCCTTGAAATTATCAGATATTTGTTTCGCTCACCACATTTATCCCAAAATCGCTTTATTCTTTTCCTGACTTTATTTGATTTCAAAATGAATTGTATATTGTCATTGTTACTTATTCTCATCTACAAGTTGGCGTAGTCATTTTTTAATTCGACATTTCTTCTTTCGACTTTGTTTTTTCATACAGATGCTATATTGCAATTTTGTACATTTAACTGGACTTTTCAGCCCTAAGTTCAGTGATGTATTTCATTTGTTGACCATAGATTTGTTGTTGGATGAAAATTATAAGGAAATAAAAAGATATGGTGAAACCTGAACAGGAAATTATAATTTTATTGATGGTAATAACAAAAATAACCATAAATAAGCAGACGTTTTCACAGTCTTCCAAACTCTGTTGCTATGCAAACAAATGAAATCTGATAATTCCAAGGCCTACCTAGGAACTTCTGGAATAACTGCGGTTTTGCAATGCCAATGTATGACATATACATTTTTGAAATTAGAATAAAAATTCTATTCATGTGTGTAAAAATCCAATATGGCGTGTGTAAAAAATTAAGTTGATGCTGGAGGACAAGAAACGAAACGTCATATTGATCTAATTCCGAATTCTAGTTGTGCCATCTTGTAGTTAGAGGAGAAAATGTGGCAGACTTGATGTGCAATTTATTTTGAAATCCCACCAATCAAATCAGGAGAAAGTTAAAACCATTTTGGGCATTTGAAATAATCTTTATAGGGAAAATATTGTTTTCACCCCAGCAAAAACAGTCGACCACTCACTCTCCGTGGGCATCCTTGAAAAAAAGCTGTATCACAAAATCTCCAGAATTCGTTGTTTTGATGTTTTTCATCAGCTTAGGGTTGGACTTACATAGCTAGAATATGAAAATACTGCATGTGCATACACTTCGAGGCTGGGTGACAAGGGAACAGGGAACAAAAAATCCCTAATATCTGAGTTTTAGTAAAAGTCATTCGCAATACTTTGTATATAATCACTGCAGACATTTATTCAAAATTCTTACTATTTACTCCTTCAACTTGTCATTCGATGTGTGGAATCATAGTTCTTCGAATTTATGTGTATACCTTTTAAATGAGAATTTAATGGGAATTACTGAATAAATCTACTTGAAATTTTTGGGTGCTGTTATTTTTTTTAGAAAGTGTCCCATGTTTTCCTCTCTAGCGGAAAATTCGGACACATTCAGGCAGTTGAATGATAAATCCTAGATCATTCTGGTTTACAGCAAATGAACACACCCAAACTTTTCCAAAATTGTCTACTTCATTCTGAAAAATTTTACAGTCGAATAATTATTGCACTTGATTTCGAGCTCTGACAGGTTACTGGCAAATTATTTGCTGACTAATTTGACAGTCATCAAACAGTCAGAAGTTTTTGTACGCTCCCTTAGCCAACTCGTAACGTTCTCATGTACGCAATCTATACAGTCAGCGACGTGTTAGTGACAGCTAAATGAGTACCTAGGTCATGACTTGTCGCAAACTATCAGTTTGCTGATTGTCAGCAAACAGGCTGTACAAACAAAATATTAATGCGGACGGATTCTCTATCTTTATCTAAATGTAGAAATTCCAAATATTGCGTTCGTTCTAGTTAACATCCAGATTCACAACGCTGACGCTTCCGGAGACATTTCGTACAGAATGAGTGCAAAATATCACTGATGAATTACGATTTTATAAAGTTACATGGAATAGTTATCTTTGGAATCCTTGTAGTTGGAACCGTACATAAAATACGAAAGCTTTTTTGAGAGAACAGTCATTAAGTTATAAGCTTTGTAAAGCTGTAACGCTTCCTTTCCGCAAAAAGTCCAGAAAAGATGGAATGCAATGAAGATTCCAACTTTTCTGCACAATCACAGAAAGGGGGTTACAATTAGCTTCCGGTAGCTCAGTCGGTGGCATGAGGACATCTACAGGCGTGTAGCTATATGTCGACCATGGCATGGCTAGAGGATAGAAGAACAAACAGAACACAAAAATTTAACAGATTTTATTTAACAAAAAAAAGGCATTTTCATTACATTACAATTTTACAAAAATAACAAAATAAGTTTTACATCTTTGGCGCTGCTATAACGCTATCGACTTATCTTTCGCTGGTCCATTTTTACTCGACTGAAGCCAGGATGGCCAGGGGCTTGAAGGGGAGGTCCCAGTTATGAGGGGTGACCTCCATATAGTGGCTTCACAACCAGTTGTAGGCGAAGTTAAAGGTGATGGCGCTGCCAAGGTACATGCATGGGTGAAAATATTGGCCAAGGCTAGGCAAAGTGAAAGGGAAAGAGAAAGGGGGTGGCCCCAATCATTTTTGTCCTATACGGACACACATTCTAGAAAATTCTAGCACATGGTGCTATATAACCTTGTGCTACTGAGAAGAAATTTCTAGCCGTTGTTCGATCGGCGGCTCAGGTGAAAAGAAAGCGCGAGGAAGATCGCAGATCAGGAACTCCGCATCAAGCGCTCCAAGCGGAAAATTTTCCAAGCAAAAAAGCTAGAGATGGGATTAATGAAATGATAATCGAGAAGTGATTTAATAAATACGATCGGACGGTGAAACCGTTACACTCGCCCCAACTTAACCAAAAAAAAAAATCGAAGAAGCATTTAAGAATTTTTTTTTTTTACTAGGAAATTGAAAGTTATCACGGAAGGACAAATGTACAACCATTCGACCAGATAACAAGTAGTAAAAGTAAGGTAGAAACAAAAATGTTAGAAGAGAATTGGAAGAAAAAGGGATAGCCTCAAGTCTACCAAACAAGAGGGATGGTTATAGCACCAACTCGCTGAAAAGTACAGTGAAGTTGCACATAAAAAAAAATATCATCATATGATGAAAAACCCAAAACATAAAACATCGTCATACCTAAGACGAGAAAAATAATAAACCAAAAGTTTCAGCAGTAGTCCAAGCACGAATCACAATGGCATCCAAAATGCACGACTGACTACTAAAAACTTCAAAACTAAGTAAGTACCTAAACCATAAGAGGTA